GTTTTGCACTGCGCATCCCTCCTTGCCCATCTGGACTGAGGGTGCATCAGGGTTAGCCCGGGTTTCATCCTGGCATGCAGTCAGGTGCATGCCAAAGGGTTCCTAAGAGTCAGTCTGATGGGTCACACAGCACTGAGTGCTTGCCCTTGGTGATAGGCACAACCTACGGTCATGAAACTGTTGCCAAATAAGTGTAGTCTCAAGTATATGCAATTAACCCTTATGAAGCTGAACCTCTCAGATTTCATAAAAAGAGCTTAAAGTTCTGCCATTTTCAAACCAGTCAGCTACATAATCATCAGTGACAGTAATGATTACTAGTGATACCATTAAAGGGAATGTGGTAGTGTAACACAAAGCATTTTGTAAGAGAAAGCACAACTTACTATGAATCCTTCACAATTGTGATTCCTGGAAAATGGGTAAAATGCTCCTACTTGCATCCATCGTCTGCAAAGTTCTTCTGTGGTGTTGTCAAAGAAACCACAAATATCTGCTCCAATCTTTAAATAAAAACAGAATGTGTTGGATGTGCAGTACGCTGCACCTCTAATCCCTACACAAAACTTCTAGTTTCCAGAGATGTATTAATTCAACCTTAATTGCTAGCCAGAGTGACTGAGCCATTCAACACGTTTGTACCTTTCTTCTTTCAAATTCAACTATGTTCTATAAAAAATTAAACTGACTACTAGTTAACACTGCCCATCATTCTATTTCTTCCAAACCTTTACCTTCCTCTTTGGTGCTAATATGCATACATTAGAAAAAAAGCTCAAGAGTCATACAAATTTAAATCATGGAAAGGAATTTGGCTATTTTCCTTTTAAATGGATGTCTCTATTTCATTTGAAATTATAAGGAAAACACCAAAGTGTTTCACATTGATCACTAGTGTTTAAAAATTACTAGAGGTAACAGGTAGCTTGGGATATATGTGTCCTGGTTTCAGCTGGGATAGAGTTAATTTTCTTCTTAGTAGCTGGTTTAGTGCTGTGTTTTGGATTTCGTATGAGAATAAAGTTGATAACATACTAATGTTTTAGTTGTTGCTAAGTAGTGCTTACACTAGTCAAGGACTTTTCAGCTTCTCATGCCCTGCCAGCGAGAAGCTGAAAAAGACCACTGCTTGGGAACTGGCTGGGCATCAGTTGGAGGGTGGTGAGCAATTACATCATGCATCACTCGCTTTGTATATTCTATTATTACTATTACTATTACTATTTTACTTTATTCTATTTCAATTATTAAACTGTTCTTATCTCAACCCACGAGTTTTCTTACTTTTACTCTTCCAATTCTCTCCCCTATCCCACTGGGGCAGGGGGAGTGAACGAGCAGCTGTGTGGTGCTCAGTTGCCAGCTGAGGTTAAACCACGACAATAAGATGTTTGTTACCCATGTTTATCTCACCACACATACAGCCACGATAATAAAAATGTGGCCTAAACCAAAAATCAATAATTGAAAAAAAAAGTTAAAACCAGATTCCTAAAGGGGATTAATTTGGAGCTGAGAATGTAAGATAGTTATCTAGATAGTGTTTGATTAGATAATCTGTTATCACAGAGGTAGAGTTACTGTTTATCCATATGTTTTGAAAGCATGTCACAAACTAATGTCATACATAAGGAATTCCAAAGAGGTTGAAGTCCAGCATTCCAGGTATTGCCCATTTTAAGTGATCCCATGTTGCTGCATTATCTCCCAGCCAGTGTCCTGTGTGCTTTCCTGATCCAACAAAAGTAGACCTCGAAATAAGGAAGCTTCGTTTTCCAGGAAACAATGATTCAATAACTCTTAAAGGAAATGAGACTGGAATTACACAAAGGAAAAAAGACAACTTGGACACCAATAGTTTTATATAAGGCAGATTTACACTGACTGATTTACAATAATTATTCATCCCAGGGATGTGGACTTCTTTACAGTTAAGCAGGTGTCTTTTAGCGAAGTTCAAGACATTAATTTTAAGTAATCTTTATATACAGCTTTGACAACAAATGTGTGGCTTTTACTACTAACTTTAGTAGATTTTGCCTTAGCTGCATTGGCTTAAATATAATACAGTATTTTCCAGGAATTGGGTTCCTTTAGAAGTGAAATCTCTTGCTGTTTTGGAAAATGCAGGACATGTACTGTTGTGAAACCTCGTTGTAAAAATTTTAGGATGCATTCCTTACTTCTGTGTTGATATGGCCATGGAATATCCATAAAGACTGTGGACATCATAATGTTTCCCCCACTTCTGCACTGCATCCATACAAAGTGTCTTGGAAAACATGAGCTTGTCAAGAATACCTTCAATGAAGGAATATAAATATCACTTTTAAAGTACATTTTTATTATGGATATTTCCAATCTTTTCTTTAATGCACATTCATGGCATTCAAGCCTTTTTTTCTCTTTAGTGTTTGCATTAAAGCCAGTATTACTACTACAAAAACAAAATGCTACTCTTGGCGCTGGTTTGATTGATTTGATTTTGATCTTTGCTCTGTGACCTTTTCTATTCTTAAGCTTTGCACCCATGCAAGGAATAACTGAGAACTACACTCTAAATTTCTGAATCATTATCTGACAACACGTTGGCAATGGTTACTTAAACCTACTATTTAATACAAACTGAACTCCATTTTAGTTCTGCATACATCTCAAAAACTACTGATAGTGAAAAAAGATCATTATATTATCAGACATAATTAAGGCAATGACAATATTCAGTAATAATTTGAAAAGGGAAAAAAGCCAGTTATATAAACCACGCCTTTGACGAGGGCCAAAATATACCAGTATTTTCTGTCAATAGTAATGTTCAAGCCCCACCCATAAGAACTACACTTTGCATCCTTGTAGTCAATTGCACAGTAATTCATAAACTTTTTGATATTTTGCTTTCTGGTAAAAGTAGATGGACTTACTGGGAGTGAAAGGAGGATAGTTTAAGTCATTCTGCGCACAACCGTTTTTTGAGCCTTTAATGAAGCTGGATACTTCATTCATATCCTGAAAAAATAAGATGCAGAATGTAATAAAGTTTCCTCAAGTACGTTTTCCTAACAAAGTCTTATGTTCTAGTCTCTTATCCTTTAAGGAATAATTACTTAGAAATAGTACCATACAATTAGGCAAGAATGAAATAACTCAGATACTGACCTGGTCCATTCCTGTATTAATTTAGATCTCAGTGTTGGACAGACTTCTATATGCAGGTGAGTGTCATGTCGCAAGTGCTGCACCTTATCCCTCCACAGAAAGAAATTGCAAAAGGTGCTCATGTATACATTGTTCCTACCTATGACCAGCTCCACACATCTCAAGTAAATGTCTTTGGTGTGGAGTGTGTGTTTGGAGAGAAATGCAGAACCAGCAAATGTCCATTGCAACTTTCTGTCAAAATACACAAGGTGACTAGATATTCTTAAGCATCTCCTTTATAATACTTTCCAAGCCATTATACTTTTAAACTTTGCTGTCTCCTTCCATTAATATTTTATTTGGCAGTGCTGTAAGTGCATTTCTATGTGCATCCCTGAACGTGCTACAGGAGAAGCATGCATGGAAGAAGGGAGCAAATTCATCATGGAGGCAAAGTAGTCTAGTGACCAATTTGCTTCACTCAAATTATTTGTTTTCTATAAGAGAGCTGTGCAGTCTTACACTTCATAGCTTGACTTGGTGGAACCACAGAGTCAGCAAAAATAAGTGAGAAAAACTCATTCTATCACATAGCAGCTGAAGGACTTTATTTTACCATACAGGTTAATTTAAAATTGTTACAGCTTTTTAAACTGCATGGCAAAATATTCAGTAGGTTCTTGTTTTCTTTTGAAATATTTATTTATTTTTAAGTAAAAGGAAGTAGGAAAAACACAAAAAGAATAAGGGGAAGAAGGCGCTGAGACAGGGATTGAGAAGTAAAATCTATTTAAGTATAGATTACCTTCAGGCATGCATTTTTAGAAGCTTTATTACAGGATCTTCCTTTAAAAAACTAATCTAGTCAGTCAAAATGGTGCTTAATCTCATCTGATTTCCATGAACTGTACCTAAAATCCGCTGTGCCAGACTCTATTTTAGTCCTTTTGTGGGAGAACTTGTTGAGGGAGCCTGATTTTTCCAAATCCTTATCTGGAATAGCAATTGCAGATTCACTAACTGGAAATTCCAGGAGCTACTTGGAGCATAGATATGTAGGTTATATGTATTATACCTTGTATTCAGGACCTGTTTAGGACGCATTCACTGAGCAGGTATGCAGGTCTCCAAATATTGCCATTCTGAGTACAGGAGTGTGCTAGCATTTGCCTTTAGCAATGGTTCATCAATTGAAGCATTTTAAAGTGTCACTGAACATCCAAAAACCAGCACACTGATCATTTAAATGCCACAAATAATGATTCAAATTAAAATTTAAAATTCAAATTTTAATTGCAGTACAACACCAGAAGACATACACATCCTGCACTGATTTCAGGTTAGTAATAGTAAACATTCCTTTCAAATTCAATGCAAATTGAATTTGATAAACACCTATCCTTGTTTATTTTTAAAAAATAAAAATGAAAGTTCTGAATTACTTACAATCCAGATCCCATCATACGGCACTACGTTATAAAAGAGTTTGCATTCTTCCACCCACCAGCTAGTGCAGTCTGGGTTGGTGAAGTCTGGGAACACAGTTTCCCCTGGCCACACCTGCAATATTAAAAGAGAAATTAATTAAACTTTTAATGATATTAAAAAGAGTTCATAGAATCACAGAACAGCCCAGGTTGGAAGGGACCTTGAAAGATCATCTGGTCCCACCTTTCATAGGAAAGAGAACCCAGATGAGATCATCTAGCATCCTGTCCAATCACATCTTGAAAACCTCCAGTGATGGGACTCTACCATGTCCATGGAGAGGGTGTTCCAGTGATTGATTGTTCTCACTGTAAAATATTTCGGGTGCAACTTGTACCCATTGCCCCTCGTATTCCCCCTGTGGCTCCTTGTGAAGAAAGAGCCTCTGTCTTCTTTGTAGCTGCCCTTTAAGTACTGGAATACTGTGATGAAGGCCCCCCTGAGCCTTCTCTTCTCTAGGGAGAAAAGACCTAACTCCTTCAGTCTTTCCTAATAGAGCAGGTTCTCCAGCCCTTTGATCATCTTCGTGGCCCTCCTTTGGATCCTCTGCAGCCTGTCTTTTTTGAATTGTGGGGACCATAACTGGACACAGTACTCCAGGTGCAGCCTGACAAGTGCTGAGTAGAGTGGGATGATCACATCTCTATCTCTGCTAGTAATGCCCCTGTGGATGAAGCCCAGGATCCGATTTGTCTTCGTCGCTGCAGCAGCAAACTGCTGACTCACGTTCAGCCTGTTGTCCACCTGCCCCCAGTGCTAATATAGTGCTCTGATGAAGACTTTTGAACAACAAACTGCTAGAGTGACAATAGCTTGCATGCAGAAAGAAGGCAGAAAAGAGTATGAGTTTCTTAACTTTGGAGTTTTCAATTGCTTTTCTTTTAAGTCATACAAGGAACAATACACAACAGAAAAAATTCTCAATAGAAGCTAAAATTATAAATTAAAAGAATAATGTGGGAGCTGGCTCTTCAGTCACTACTGAAAATAAATAGGAGCTGGCTGATGAGTTGTCCCTTGAGACTTCAAGCTACTTTAGTTTTCTTTTTTGTTTAATGTAAAAAATTGCAACAAAAAAAAAAATCAAGAAAGGTTGAGAAGTATCATATCCTAAATGGGACCTTATAAACTTAGTTCTCACTGGCAGGTAATCTTACTGAAAGAAGCAACTTAGAAAATGAGAGTTTAAAAGGAGCCCCCTGACCTAAATTAAACCATAACAGTGACAACAGACCAAGTTCAAATTCATAAAAACATGATTACCTCCCCAAGTAATGCTGTTACTCCATCTGATTCATTAACCCAGACTTTTTTGTTCTCTCCTCTGATGTAGCTTCCATATGGACTACCATCAACTAAATTTTGTGTGCTAATAGCAGGATCCTAAAAAAAAATTAGAAAACAAAAAATAAGAAGAAACTAAGATACACTCCATCAATTATTATAGACTACTAGAATGTTAAGCAAGAAATGTAATAATTACATAGAATAAGTAAAGAATAATAATAAATAGTTATAATGATAGTATTTACAAGGGAAAAAGAAATAGTTAAATGCTTACCAATATGATAATATATTTTTGTCCATAGTCATGCATATAAGCTGCAAAATTAGGGAGATCTCGAAATTTCACTTTGTCATAAGTAAAATCTTTCTTTTCCTCCATATAGTCAATATCAGTGATCTGAGCATCCTGAAAGAGAAGGGTGTTCAGCTTTAACATGAGAAGTGATATGCAAAGATTTTGTACATTAGTCCAACACAATTTCTTCTGACAATTCACATTTGTCCTATAGTGAATTTACTGTTGGGACTTTACTGCAGCCTGGCAGAGAGTATGCTGTCAGGACCACTTGCAGACAATGTGCATCTCTTCTCATACTTACAGCCTTAATTAATGGTACTGACACATCTTTTGTGCCTAAAAAGACCTACATTTAACATTAACAGAATTTAAATGAATGTATATATTGGCATCCTTTCTAATAGCCCCTGGACGTGTGGCTATTTCATTGCAGTTGCCTGACTTCAAGGGCTATCCCCTTAAATCCAAATATTTCTTCCTCAACTCTTAGCTTAACATTAGGGTATTTTTATTCTATTTAAGCCATCAGGCTAATGTAATCTGAAATCTAATTTTAAAAGTTAAATGTACTTTACCTTTGGCTGCCAATTAAAAATAATATATGGTTCCATAATTGTACACAGGACAATTAAAAAAAAAAATCATGGATTAGGTAACATGAGAAGATAAGTGGATATAGTTGGAAAGTATAACTGAAAAAGTATTACAATAAAGTGTTCAAATATAACTTACTATAATTAAGCCCCACCATGTCCCACATTCTGATAATGGGTCTACCATTAAAATGCATAAAAGCCTTTGACACCAGAAGCCTATATATTAGAAATTTACTAATTTAAACTGATGTGAAACTAGCCAGTTGCAGAACACCGTGGTCAGGATCTCTGGGTCATTTCTCCTGCAGAGCTCTGCCTTCACAGGGCTGTTGCCCTCCTCAAACCCCATACTTACATAAGGGAGTCCAATCGCCCTGTTCCTCTCCACAACTCTCTTCACCTCATCCAGAGACCCGTAATTCCAGCGGCTGAGCTGGAAGCCCAGGCTCCAGTAGGAGGGCAATGCTGGCAGTCCCACGAGCTGCAAGTTGAGAGCAAAAATCCCACGCACTGTGAGTGGACACTGCATGTGTCACCTCAGTGCCCATTTCCCCAGATCCATACTCCTCAAATTTTTTTTGAATAATATAGATAAGCTTGAGTGGGTGAAATGAGCAGCCCACTCACAAATGCAATATTTTTCTATGATTTTTTTTTAAATTTTAAGAAATACAAATATTTTGGGACAATGGCCATTCTTTAGAGGTGTCACTGAAACATAAGCGGATCTCAAGAAGTACAAAAGATATCACTGATATCTTATGACCATAAAAACATGACATACCTGTAAGCACATTAACTACTCTATAATATTGTCATATGAACAGGAATTTGTCCATATAACAAGAGTGAGCCTCAGCAAGGAAGCATAAGTTATTCCATGTAGACCATCTCTAGCTCCAATAAGCACTGTGTAAATCCGTCAGGCGATACAGACTGATGAATTTAGCAGCTATAAACGTTGTGGGCCTCGAGCTGCTGAATGGTGTCTGCTCCAACATCTCCAGCAAAACTAGTGCTTAAGTTTCAGCTGCCCATAACAGGCCAGCTAAAAACATCCATCCTTAAGCCAACGAGGCAGATATCCTGCTGGGAGTCTGTTATAGACCACCCAACCAGGATGAAGGGGCGGATGAAGCGTTCTACAAGCAGCTGGCACAAGTCTCTCAATCGCTAGCCCTTGTTCTCATGGGGGACTTCAACTTCCCGGACGTCTGCTGGAAATACAACACGGCAGAGAGGAAGCAGTCTAGGAGGTTCCTGGAGTGTGTGGAAGACAACTTCCTGACACAGCTGGTAAGTGAGCCTACCAGGGGAGGTGCCTCACTCGACCTGCTGTTTACTAACAGAGAAGGACTGGTGGGAGATGTGGTGGTCGGAGGCCGTCTTGGGCTTAGCGACCATGAAATGATAGAATTCTCGATTCTTGGTGAAGTAAGGAGGGGGGCCAGCAAAACCGCAACCATGGACTTCCAGAGGGCGGACTTTGGCCTGTTCAGGACACTGGTTGAGAGACCCTTGGGAGACGGTCCTGAAGGGCAAAGGGGTCCAGGAAGGCTGGACGATCTTCAAGAAGGAAGTCTTAAAGGCGCAGGAGCAG